CTTCATGCACAAAAGTGCAAATGTACCTGTCATACAGTGGCTAAGATATCTGAACTGAGACTCCTTTAATAGAAAAATAAATGGCTGTACTCTGTCCCTCTGCTCAGTAGACAGTAATAAATACTGACAGTGCTGCATGCTTGAACAATAAACAAACACCAAATAAATCAAACATTCCATTAAGGAAAACAAAAACATTCCTGCCAAGTTAACCCGAAGGCAAAAACACACAGGCAGGATAAATTCCCTAAAAAAAAGAGAAAAATTAAAAGAAAAAAAAGAAAAGGCCAACATTAAGGTCCGTGCTATGCTGCCTGACATACCTGGCTGCACACCTACAGTCATTAGGCTATCCTGCTCCGTTTTCACCCTAACATACCTGTAAAATTCTCTCCACCTGTTGCTGCAGTCCTGTCATATCTTTTCACCGCACCGTTTCTTCCCCACAGCGTTCCATTATGAACTTTTCAGCTTCCGTGCTGTCGGAAAAGGATTTCTTTTTCTCTTTCCATGTAAAGCGTAGGACGGCTGGAAACGCGAGCGTGTGTCTCACGTTTATTTTTTGCAACATGCTTCTTGCCTCGGTAAACGCCCGTCGCTTCTCAGCCAGTTCTCTTGACATGTCCGGGAAGAAAGAAACTTTACATCCGCTCCACATCACTCCTCTTTTGGCCTTGGCCGCTTGTAGCACCTTCTGTCGTGCCGAGGAGCGCAGGAAGCGTATCAGCACCAACCTGGGGGGTCTGTCCTCACTGGGTCTTGTTCTTTAAGACTAATGTTTACTGCTGCTTGTGTACTGCTGTAGGCATTGTAATACCTGCAGGGTTTGACTTTAATAAAGACTTTTGAATTAAAGGTTTGCCTAACAGCCCTGCTTTCAATATTACACACTTATACAAACTGCATTTACACCATTGTGTAGTAGGAAGTGTTTGGGTGCTGACCAGGCTAACCATTTCACCTGAAAAGTAGATATTGTTCAATTGTTTTACATATAACAATCTTATAAATATTATGTAAAAAATGGATAGATTTATTTGTTATTTAATACATTTAACAACTAAAAAAAACACATAACATAATTTTGTCATGTAATTAGACTCTATAATTTTTATAAAATTGTATTTGTTGGACAGAAACAAATCTTTTAGAAAACATGCAGAAAGCATAGTTTTCATTAATTATTTGATACACTAAAGATATAAAAAACATATATAAAAAGGCAATTATTCATGTAAAAATAATGTAAATCTTTAAAACAGACATGTATAAATATATATAAGAACATTATATGGACCTTATAAGAAAAAAACATCTTTTAATGCATTTTACTTGTAAATTACATACATAATGTATGCTTAATTCATATACCGTATTTTCCGCACTATAAGGCGCACCTTCAATGAATGGCCTATTTTAGAACTGTTTTCATATATAGGGCGCACCGGATTATAAGGCGCATAGAATAGAACGTGTTTACAACTGAACAAGGCTGGGAGATATTGTGAATATATAAATATAAATACGTATAAAACGTAACGTATAAAACTACAAAAACAAAAGTACATAAGACGATTTCCTCAAATAATAAATTATTTCTTTGACGTTTCTCTTAACTCTCAAAACGTAGTTTTATACGTAGTGCATTCACAATAACTCAACGTTGTTCAAACGTTAATGTGCATATTCACAATATCTCCCAGCCTTGTTCAGTTGTAAACACGTAAAAGAAACACAGTCTGATACCGCTAATTCAAACGTTAGTGCAGGGGTGCCCAAACAGTCGATCGCGATCGACAGGTAGATCGCTGACTGATTCTCAGTCGATCGCGAGATGTTTTGTCAATATAAAATACAATTGTAAAATAGAAAAGTGATTTCAATTTCATCTCATTGCACTGTTTCCCACACATGATACCTGTGTTGGGAGCCCAAGTATACTTCCGACCTGTGTGGTCGGGGGAGCGAGAGAGAGAGAGAGAGAGAGAGCGTGCGCAAGAGAGAGTGCAGGCATGCGCAAGGACGTGCAGGTAAAACCGGGGGGGTAAATGTTTTACCAAAAAGTCATATATAGAAACTATGCTACGAGTATTAAGCGCATTTGATGAAGCTGCAGCTACTTTTCTCTGCTCCTCTCTGCTGTCATGACTGTGAGCATCGCGGGGGACGAGACACACCAACAAACAGCGCACACGCACACGCACACACACACACTTGCACTTGCACTGGAGCGCCAGCCACCACGCGAACCTTTTTACTTTTTACTTTTAGTGCTACAGCACACAGTTGATCCGTGATCCGTACGGACCGAGGTGGGAACACACGTGACCCGGTCAAACGGTCGGTTGGACTTTACTCCGTTCACTCTCACCGTGTCTGCAGCTAATTTAACAAAAGCAAAATCATCTCACAGCAGCCTGCTGTAGTCTGTAGTCTGCATTATTTTTTACAGAACTCTCATTTATTATTTTCTGTTTGTTGTGTGAGTATTAAATGTGTTTGTAGACTGTTGGTAAAGGCTATGGCTCACTATGTGGACTGGTAGATCTCGGCAGACTGGTAACTTTAAAAGTAGATCTTGGTTCAAAAAAGGTTGGGCACCCCTGCGTTAGTGCATAACTCAACATTGTTCAGTTACGTATAACACGTAAAGCTCACTTTTTCAGTTCATTCCCCGTCCACGAATCCCTCGAATTCTTCTTCTTCAGTGTCCGAATTGAACAGTTGGGCGAGTACGACATCCAACATGCTCGGCTCCCTCTCGTCATTATCCGAGTCAGTGTCGCTGAGCGCCGTGTACAACCAGTATGGATCAACCAATTAACCAATTGATCCATATATAAGGCGCACTGTCGTTTTTTGAGAAAATTAAAGGCTTTTAAGTGCGCCTTATAGTGCGGAAAATACGGTAATTACATTGTATGAGAAAAATGCAAAAGTGGCCACTTTCATGAGTAAATCATAGTATGAGACACACAAGTCTTGTAAGACATTCAATGCATGTAAAATATAAAGATTGCATATTGCAGGCAATGAAATATTTTACATGTTTTTTCTGTTTCTTTTCCGTATGGGTATATAACTGCAGGCGCAATTATAACCGAGAAAGGTGGGATAAAAACGTTCTAATTAACAAAGTTTTAGGGCTATTAAACGGAGCTAAATTACTGTGCAGCCATCTTGCTTGGCATCCACGTGACTTCCAATCTTTTCTTTTTTTAAACACAAATAACACTTGTTGCTTGAATGTGGGCAGACCACATCTGCTTTCTGGTTCCTCCTTTATCTGTCATGAAGTTCACACTCTGTCGATTTAACCTTTTTTGGGTTTCTACAGACTCTCGGATGTGACTCAGAGAATACAGAATGATCTGAGCAGTGATGATATCGATGTTTAAATGAATGCAGGTCAAAAGACAACAGGTACAGAAATAAAAAATAAAGTGTAAAAATCTTTAACTACAACTTAACACATGCACATCAAAGTGCCTGCTGCGTATATAAACTTATTTTAAAAGCTGGTTTATATGGAGCTCCTGAAGTCCTAAAAAGTGGAAAAAAATATCTTGTGCACTTGAGTTATCATCTAACTTGTGCACAAGATGCTATGTTGTGCTCACAAGTGAATATCCTGTGTGCAAGGATTAAGAGAAGAAACAGTCAGCGCTCACACACACTAGCATGTAGTCAAAGGTTTTTCTGAATACCAGTCCTTTATATAATTATCGTGTTCACACAAGATTTCAGTTTTTGTACTTTTGGGACTTCAGAGTCTCCGTAAATTTAAATTTCATGCAGAGGTATAATGCTAGGTGTTTGTGCTGACCTTACAACGCCATTTGTTGGAGAAAAAAAGCATCTTAAAGCAATAACTCTTGAAAGTTAACAACACAAAGTCTCATACAAACACATCTATCAGTATCTGTTTTCTACTGAGCCCTGCAAGGCTCAGGTGAGACAAAAAATAAAAAGCTGTCGATCATTTCGGCAAATCCATGCACACTGATTTACAATCTGTGGGCACAGATTCCTAAATGGTGCACACGGATTTCAAAACAGTGCGCACGGTTTCTTAAACTGAAAGTGAGCCTGCAGATTGCAAATCCGTGCACACGGTTTAAGAAGAAGAAGAAGCTTTGACGGAGGCATAGGTCACTGAACCATCGTCAGCATCGTCTTTAGCACAAACCTGGAGATAGATCACAGAGCATTAAATAACTCAAAATGACATCATTAAATGCAAAGTGCAAGTTGATACATGGAGAATAAAGGCGACATGTTGAGAATGAAGTTAAGCTGTTGTTAGTAAAACTAAAATAAATAGAATGAATTCTAAATGTTCAGATAAAAGTTCACATCCATCCTGACTTTAACCAATCAGACAGCTTACCCGAGCTCCTCTTTTTCCCTTCTTGTTGTATCTGATGGAGGTGTAGGAAACCCCGCCTTCAGGATCAGCCTACACAGAGAAGACAACAAAACAGCTGCTCAGTAATGTTTATCGTGACCTGTGCTTTTGATTGGAGCAAATAAAAAAAACTGGTTATGATCTTTCCTAGGGGTAGAAGATAAAGATAAAGATAAAGATAAACTTTATTGATCCCCCGTGGAGGAAATTTGTGCAAAGGGAGAAGAGCAAGGGCCCCAGGACAGAGCCCTGTGGTACCCCACATAACTCAGAAGACTCAGAGACACCATCACCATTACGTACTGAGAATGTTCTGTCAGCAAGATAGAAAGAAAACCAATCTGTGAGCCCACAGTGTGATACGTTCCTGGTGCTCTGAAGTTGCATCATCATCAAACTTCCCTTTTTATCATTGTCACACTCTGGAAATTTATCACACCAATCTAAGGAAGTTGTGACTTTCAGGCGGGGAGGGGGGGGCTCAGATGAATATTTATTTATTTTTGGCATTTTGGTTTCTGCCAAAAAAAATCCCTTCTGCTCTGCTGAAACAGAAATGTTTCTTTAAACTTCTGAACATGCAGGATGACATTTATAAGGTTCGTATGATGGTATCCAAAGAATGACCCTCATAATGTCTAAATTGATCAAGTCTCTTCAGCAGCCGGTCAGAACAAACATCGTAATCAAACGTTTTGGGACTTACAACATCGTCACTCATCTGCGTTCTGTTTCCTGCAGAGACACAGAAACAGCTGGACTTTAGCTTCCAAACAAGAAATATGGATCATCCAAACTTCTAGATATTAAAATGTAGAGGTTAACTGAAGCTAACAAACATTAAACTTCTGTTATTAAAGTTTTTTTTTCTGCATGAAAATGTTCATCTGTGCTCTCACCTTTCTGTCTGATGACTTTCACAACGACCACTAACAGAACTATAAAAACCACCACAGCCACGAGGATCAACCACCAAAGCCAGTCTGCCAGAAAAATGAAGCATGAGCATGATGACCTCAGACTTCTGTCCTTAATCAGAATCAAACACAGAGAGCAGAAGACAACAGGAGACTCTACCTCCTGCAGGCGTTGTTGTTGCTGGTAGTTCTGGTTTGGTGTCCTCACCTGAAATTGAGATAAACACAACTAAACAAACTGTTCAGCACTAAACTTGTGTTTTCATATAAAATTCAAACTTCAAATCCAAAGAAACATTTTAATATTTGAAGTATTTCCAGTCCAAAGTAAGGATGGAGATTTTATAAGAGAAACACAACAAGAGACAAATTAACTTCATCAGAGTCTTTATAATTATTGTAATGTTTCAGTTTATTGTTTGAATTAGAAAAGTTTTATTTGAAAAGATTATTGAAATACTTACTCTTGGTAACAGAGAGATGAACTCGAGTCACATCGCCTGTTCTTCTTCCTGATTTGATCTGTAGACAGAGGTAACGTCCAGCATCCTCCTCTGTGATCTTCTTTATAACCAGAGAACAGTCCTCTGTAACATTCAGTCTGTCTGATTTAACTCCAGAGTTTTTAACCTGACCTTCTACAACCAGGTCTACTGCTGGTGTGTTTCCTGAATCATCATCAGCAAAGGCCCATGCCGTATATTCACACTTCTGTTGACCTTGTATCACAGTTTCACAAGACAACGTGGCGTTCTCTCCAAGTGAAGCTTTAAATGTGACTTCTTTATCTCCAGCTGCTGCTGTTGATAAAATGACAAAGAATAAAGTAAATCAATAAAATGTTGATTATATTCACAATCAGTTTGAGAATAATTCTTCATCTGTGGTTTCTCAGAGTTCATTAAATCCATCATGTTTAAAAAAAGGTTAAATATGTGATATAAATGTTCTTACCAGCAAACTGAAGCAGCGCTGTGAGAAGTAAAGAAGTTTGAATCCATTTGAGCTCGTTCATGGTGATTCTCCGTCTCTGTCCTCAGGTTGTCACGCTCCTAACTGTCTGAGTTTCTTCAGTAGTGCTTCTTTAAAGAGACGCTGCATCTACTTCCCTTTCTTAGTATGTCGTCACTTCCTCATTTTGACTTCAAGCTGGCCTTATATGTTCATTTCTATGAATGTGTCATAGTTATTAAAACATGATGTAAAGTGTTTAAGTGATCATAAACTGATGATCATTAAGATGAGCTGCATCGATCAGTAAAGATTTCGGAGGTCAGAGGTCAGAGGTCACAGCAGATTGACGGAGATCCTGTCAAACTGTGATCAGTGTATGAAGAGGTCCGTCCCTCTGTCCTCCCGTTCTCAACTGTTCAGGTAAATGTGTGAAGATTGTGAGTTCTGAGAAGTGCAATGTTCCTCTTTCTGAGAAAATAGTTAAGTTAAAAATGATGTCTGTGAGCAAAAAGTGAACAAAACATGGAGGGTCAAACTCCTTGACCTCCTGAATACAACTCTGAATGTCCGTCGTGTTTGAGAGATCAGAGATCAGATGTTATTTTAGTGCTCTGAGATGTGCTGACGCATCATTTTGAGTCTTTTCTTGAGAAGTGAAGGTGAAGTTGTTTGGTGAGAATGTGGGTATCATCATCAGCAGTCGAGTCAAAACAAACATTTCCTCCTCATCTTCAAACTCCTCTGCACGCTGCAGCAACATGGCCGTACTCCTGACAGCAGAAACACCTGAGAGGAGCTCTCTCATAAGCTCTCACTCTGCAGCAAACATTATCTAAATACACTATAGTGATGTGTAGTTCGTGAACGACTCGTTCAAAACGAACGAATCATCTGGGTGAACGAACTGAACTGAATCACTTACTGAAAAGAGTCGTTCATTTCTCAACTTCAGTTGCTCTCTCCTCTCTCCCGTCTCGTGTCTCTCTCTAGACCATAAGAGTCTCTCAAAGCCCGCCCTCCCTCTCCTCTCATGTCAGTGATATGTACTGACTCAACCAACAGGACGGAGTCAGTCAGGAGCTCTGTGTCACTAAAGCCCGCCCCTACTTCTCCCTCTCATTTTGAGGAAGTAGAAAATACATTATTTAACATTTAGGTGTCGCGAAAATGTTTGTGCTTTTTATATCTGCTGTCAGTTTACAAACGGCTTTTATATCCAACTAAATTTAACTCAGCTGACTGTTTTAACATCTACTAACCATCGTGTTTCAGTCAGTACTGTGTGTGTGTGTGTGTGTGTGTGTGTGTGTGTGTGTGTGTGTGTGTGTGTGTGTGTGTGTGACTGAGGCTGGTGACTCACAGTCTCGCTCGTTCACGTTCAGTCAGTGTTTCGTTCACTGAACGAACTGAACGAGCGCTCCGACATGAATCACTGACTGACTGAGAGGGAGAGCTCCGCCTCCGAGTCACTCTCTTCCTCTTCTTGTACTGAACGTACTGAACAGAACGGTCGGGGAAAATAAATGTGATTGTTTTAGCAGCTTTCAGTTTGCAAACTGGAGCTTTATCCAACTAAATTCTCAGCTCATTTGCTTATTCTTCACCACCGGCTGTTCTCAGTACGATCGCGAGCAGAACTAAACGTTCGGCCAAGGGAAAGCCATGTGAGAGCACTAGAACCATCTCCAAAGACACACATTTTCAGTGTTTTTTCTCTTATGGCGTTTAGACAGACATTCAACAATGACAATCCCATCTCTACTGTTATCCTGATGGACCTCACTTCTCCAAATTTATCCCAACAACAAATCCATTTTCCCGCAGTATTTAAGCCTCTCCTGCTCTATCACTCTAACTCCTCTGTGAAAAACCGTATTGGTCCTTTTTCCCCATCGAAATAGGTCTGAAAAAGTCGGGTCGTCTTATATTCGGGGTCTAGTATTCAGAGCGCAGCTCGAATTGTTCGCCTGTCCCTTTAAATGTCAACACACATGACGCGCTCTGGGAGGAGCAGGGGAGTGATGACAGTGAGAGAGAACACAGCGGGGCGGAGGACGTGTGTGAGGAATAGGAGACATCGGAGGAGAAGTTTGGAGAGTTTTAGTTTAATTTAATTAAAGATGTGGCCTGTATTTTCTCTCTTATTTAAAAATGTTGATAATATTGCTTGATTTTAATGTTGAATCATACTGTACATATTTTGACCTCGTGAAAAACTTAGTTTTGAAAAGTGCCGTAGCATATAACGATAAATAGGCCTACGTTTATTATTGTTATCATTATTACAACAACAGGTGTTTAATTCAATGTGTTTTTAATATTGGGGAGCGATGAGAGCGAGAGTGAACCATAGACTGTAAATATTACTGGACGAACCCTGACCCGTCTGTGACATAGGCAGAAAATGAGTCCAATCGACGGCTGAATCCATATTGGATTTGCAGTCTCAACCTAACTTCGGATCAACCTAACGACAGCAGTAAGGCGGGACCGGCGGGACTTAACTCCGCCCATTCAGCTGCCCAGAGAGCTGCAGAGACAGAGGAAGAAACCTGAGCCTCAACAACATCTGTATTTGTTGGTTCTTCTGGGGTGGACTTCAGTTGCTTCTCTTCAACAGCTCGCTGCGAGGGAGGTCTCCCCCGGATGGCCTGAGTGATGTCACCCACAGACTGAGAGCTAAGGCGGGTTTTAAACCTCTTGACAAACCGTTACACCGTGCCCGCCTGTCAAGCTGGTCAGCTACACGCCTTATTGTGAATAACTCTTATCCTTCATCAAATCAAAACTGATGAGTCATCAAAACATTCACCCCCCCGTACAGTGTGTGTCCATCGAGACATGAGCTAATCACACCTATTTGTTTGTTTTGTACCAAGCTGTAAACATGTTCATCTCTGCTGTAAAAACAGACTTTTTTTAATGTTGTTTTTCAGATTAAATAAATATTTCTATATAAATGCACTCCTTTATGTCTACTTATGAGTATACATTTCAGATTTTAAAAGGACAAGACTAAAATGTGCATTAATGCTCAACTCAATAGCTAAGGGAAGGAAGTCTACTTTTACACAACTTCTTATTCTTTCAACATTTTTTTTTACCAAATACTAATGTAGTTCATTTCTGAAAGTGGGATGGAACAGAGTCATTGCAAAAATATGATCTTAAACACAGCCCCATTTTTAAATCAAGATACATGGAGAGTAAATAAGATCAATAACTTGTGAATAAAAACAGTTAAAAATGATTTAGTAGTCTTATCGTAGTCTTATCAGATCAATATCACATAATATCAACTTCTCCCATCTAAACTGGACAAAGGGTTTTAAAATGGGAAGAAAATGGTTTGATTGCAAGTTGTTTGGAGGAGATCTTGAACAGCATGAATACAGTCTTCCAAGGTGCAAACCCTCCTCCTCCTCCTGAAGCCTGTGGAGCTCCTTCATGTACTGCTGTCTTATCTGCTGGCCATCTTCTCTCAGCAGAACTTTGACTGTTGAAAAGTCATTCTGAAGAAGCTCGAGCATGTGACATGGATCCAGGAGAACATGGACTTTTAGTGAGGGGTCTTCAGGATGACAAAGAAAGAGAGAAAATATCAGTTATTCATTAAATCATTTTTTTGTTCTCATCTATTTTTCTGTATTCATCTGTGTGTAAGAGTACATTTATAAATTCAACAGTGTACTACCCAGACAACAAAGGTACAGTATTCAGGTAATCAACATCTATTCAAAGTTAAGAAGATAAACATTATTGTAATCGTGCTGTTTTCAGCTCTCTCACTCACACAATGATATTCTACATCAAATGGTCTCAGATTTTGTGAGGATAAATTAAGCAGTTTATTGTGGATAGTACTTCATCTTAACATGAAACAAATATAACCTGAATTATTTAAATCATTAACAGGTCCCAACTCTCTGTGCTTTAGTACAGAACATACAGTAACTCATTTATTATTAACATGAGCTCAGTACATGGCTGTACTCTTCAAACTATTTATTATACTTTATATCTATGTGCTTTATATCTTATTTTCATTCCATATGTTATTTATATTTTATATTTCTACAGCTATATTCTGTGTATGAGTTCAGTGAAAATTAATATGGTTATTAATATAGTTTTCTTTTTTTATTTGTTAACAGTTTGCTCAAATCTTAAGACACTACATCAACCATGTAACTTTAATGTCATCCTCTATAACCTACACAGCACATTAGGTTCAGTTCAGTTTATGTTACTGACGGATAATTACTACACAAAGTTTGTTTTTTAATGTCCACATTTACGTGGAGTATAACATTCATCATAACGTCAGATAACAACTGAGGTGAACCTTTGGCTTCTAACATCATACAAACTCATTTTCAACATCTTAACAACAAACATTTCTAAACCATTGACCGTAAATAATGAGCTACACAGTTAGCCGACTGGTTTACAAGGTAACGCTAAACAAGCTAGGTCCGTAAATATAAACACATGAGTAAGCAGTAAATATAACACTACTATATCACTTACCGAAGAAAACTGAAGCATCAACTTGTTGGATGGTCTGTTAACCGCACAGCAAGCCGTGTATGTTGTCAGATCTGTGTTAAACAAACTCTCCAAATGAAGTAAGAAAGAGGAGAAATCAGACGGATCAAGCTGTTAGCCTCCTGACCTGCTGACCTGCTGACCGCGCAGAGCTGTCAATCAAATCTGACACAACCAAATATGGGCATAGTGTTTTCCTTAATAGAATAAAATCCGATGAGTTATAAAAAAATTCACCCCCCCCCACAGTGTGAGGAGAAGGGGCCGTCAACTTCTCAGATACATCTCGTTTTTTGAACCAGGCTGTAAACATGTTGATTCTTGTGGTAAAAACGGGCTTTTTTGGCTGTGGGCTTATGGCACTTCCGGCGCTTCTGCAGCCAGCCTCAAGAGGAACCTCGAGGAACTGCAGTTTTTTGTACTTCCGCATAGGCTTCATTTTTCGAGACCGGAGGTTGCCCCTTGGAGTGAACACAGCGGGGCAGAGTGTGTGTGTGTGTGTGTGTGTGTGTGTGTGTGTGTGTGTGTGTGTGTGTGTGTGTGTGTGTGTGTCTGTCTGTCTGTGTGTGTGTGTGTCTGTCTGTGTCTGTCTGTGTGTGTGTGTGTGTGTGTGTGTGTGTGTGTGTGTGTGTGTGTGTGTGTGTGTGTGTGTGTCTGTGTGTGTGTGTGTGTGTGTGTGTGTGTGTCTGTCTGTCTGTGTGTGTGTGTGTCTGTCTGTGTCTGTCTGTGTGTGTGTGTGTGTCTGTGTGTGTGTGTGTGTGTGTGTGTGTGTGTGTGTGTGTGTGTGTATGTGTGTGTGTGAGGAATAGAGAGGAGACATCGGAGGAGAAATTTGGAGAGTTTTAGTTTAGCGGTAGTTTAGTTAAAAACGTTGCCTGTATTTCCTCTGTTATTTCAAAATGTTAAAAACATGTTGATAATATTGTTTGATTGTTAATCGATTTTAATGTTGAATCATACTGTACATAGTTCGCCCTTGTAAAACACTTTGTTTTGAAAAGTGCCGTAGGCCTATACCGATAAATACGGTATGTTAATTATTATTATAATTATTAATACAACAGGTGTATAATTCAATGTGTTTTTAATATTGTTATTTGAAGGTGATCTGGTCTTCTTATAATCAGGGTCGTCTTATATTCAGACCAATACGGTATGTACACTAATAATCACTGTTCTGTGTGAAATATATAAGTTTTATTCACACCCTACTCATATTAGTCTTGATAAAGGAGGCAGGTGCATACTAAACTTCTCAAAGTTGCCTGACTTTTTTTGCCTCTTGCACACATTTGGTGTATTTCTCTGTATTTGGACACATTCTAGTTCTCTGCTTAGAAAGGAGAACGGAGGATGAATGGAGGATATCCCAATAATAAAGGAAGGACATCTATTCATGACTTTCAGTCACATGGCCATGGCAAAATGTTCTCAGGAAAGTAGCTGCCACCGTACAGAAAACACTGTAGAGCTGCAGCACAGGCTTTTTAAGAAGCCAGGTTTGGACTCAGAGGACCCAGACAACTTCCGGCCGATCTCCTACCTCTCTAACAGGTAACAGATTGTCACCATCAGCAACTCCAGCTCCTCCTGAGTTCCAGGTCATAAAGGTGTGCCCCAAGGGTCTGTGCTTGGCCCTCTTCTTTTCGCAATCTACATGCTCACCCTTGGTCGGATAATCCGCCAACATGATGTCGATTTTCATTCCTACGCCGATGACACGCAAATCTACCTCGGCACCCTTCCAAGGGCAAGAAATGCTTCATCATTCCAGCATCAGTGATGACTGTCAACTGTCAATTTCAGTGTTCAGGGGCAGTAATGTGAGTTAAAGGCAGCAATATTTAGATCAAGTGAACACAATCTTTGCTGTCAGGATTAGGAGAAGTCTGTTCTTCTTTTTCCCTCACAGGCGCCGCGGAGGGTCTAACCGCATTAATCCACAAATCTCCTCCTCTCTGGGTTTGTTTCTCAGATTCAGATTCTGATTCAGATTCTGCAGAAGCAAAACCCAGCCTCGTCTCCTCATCGGTCAGTGTATAACATTAAACAACTGTCTTTTATTTGAAAAATGTCAAAATAAAACTGATAAAAACACTTAGATGGCAACTGAGATCAATAACTTCTCAGTAGCGTTCAGTGGTAGAGAGCCTTTCTTGCCCGCCAGGTGGGCGGTTCTATAAGAGTGTGACCGTCACGTCATGTAAAAGCTATGGAGAGAAAATGTTCACCTTCAGAAAAACTCTGTAATTTAATGGAGTCACAAAAAGCACACAGTATAATTAAGCATGACATTTTATTATGATTTTATAAAGACATGATTATTACAGACTGAAGATGGAAAAGTATAAAAAGAGATCTATGATGCTGATCCATATTTAAAAACATACATATAATGTTACCATGTTGGATGTTCATACTAAACCTCTGCAAAGTTTTTTAAACACAAGATACACAGATGTTGGTGTAATCCCCGGACGTGGTTTCCTGCTGCTCTGAACAAGATCTTAAAGGACGTCGTAAAACTTTGCCACTGAAACATTAGATTAGAACAAAGCATGGAGCAAAGATGAAGGAGTTGCCCACCCGTCAGCTAATTGGTTCTGCCCCCAGGAAGTTTTTAGCAAAGCTGGACAATCAGAGAAATGTGGGCACGTGAAGAGGGCGGTCTTAAAGAGACAGCAGCTGAAATGAACCGTTTCACACAGAGGCTGATATGAGAGATTTTACCGACATAAATAAGAAGGTTTTTGAGCTACACATCTCACAACACTACTCAATAGGTGTCCCAGACTGACATGATTAATGGTGAAAGTGAGGATAATAGACCTCCTTTAAGTAAAACATACACATTCAATTAAATATATTGAAGCAACAATAAGACATGAAAGTTAATTTGACATAGTGATTCAAATTTGATTATTCTGACATTTTAAGGCACTCAAAAATATGAAGAACTTACAAATGAAGCTTTCTACAAAAAAATATATTTTCTGCTATGTTTGCAAAAACTGAAGATTAACCCAAGTGATGATCTCTCTCTCTGTTTCTCTCTCTACCTGCTGCAAACCTGCATGATATAGAAATGATTGAAAGCGGTGGATTAATGTATCTGCTGAGTGGATGTTTGTGTGGAAGTTGTTGATCAGTGGAGTCTGACAGAAGCAGAAGGTTCTCCATCATTTTCATAGTTCACTGAGCCTTCATCTCCATCATAATACACCTGTGAAAATACAAAAACATACGAGTTAAAATGGAGAAATGTTCCTTTTCTTTATGAAGACAGTTCATATGAGGCTTTATTTCCAGCTCACAGTGATGTCATCAGGTGGTCTCTGGTTCCCTGAAAAATAAAGCACACAGAAACATTTCAGCTCTGACTTTAAGGTTGGTGGTGATAGGTGTGAATAAAAGTTGGTGTGAGTGTTTCTCACCTCGAGCTCTGAAGAGAAGAACAGTGATCACAGTAATCAGGAGGAGTTCAGCCACACGCAGAGCCAACATGACCAAGTCCAGATCAGAACAACCTGTACAATCTGATGAACAGGAACCAGACGTTAATCAAATATTGAACTTTGCTAACAACTTTTGTATTTTCAAAAAACATAAACATCTTCTAAAGACAATAGATCTGAGTTCTTAAGATGATATGATGAATAAAAAAAAGATAACACGTGTCTGCATTGAACATTGAGAGCAGTAAAATGATTAAATTAATTTGATTGGGATTAATCCCAGATATTCAGCAGTTAATTAAGATTAATCATATTTCAATCAATTGAGCTCACTTTCTTGAGCTAAGGATACTTTATTTCCTGTTTTGAATATAAACCCTCTTTTACTTTGAAAGAAAAGAAGAAACTTTGAGGGTTACAACTTAACCACAGAAAAAAGGAACTTGTTAAGGATGGTAAAGAGTTAAAGAGGAGGGTCATAATGTGAAATATTTGACATCATTTGGTGGATATTACTTTTAAACTCGTCAGCTGAGCCGTCTGGGAGGTTTTTAAAAAAAAAGTGAAACAAGACATTCAAAGGCACAGAGGTGTCGTTCTTTTCCATCACTGTGACTACAGGGAGACACTTCTGTCAGTGTGGTGGTTTAGATACTGAGGGACTAAAGAGATCAGATAGGGATCAATGTGTCCAACAGCATGTTAGCTCCAAACTTCTGTCCTTAATCAGAATCAAACAAAGAGAGGAGACAACAGACTCTACCTCCTGCAGCCGCAGTAGTTGGTGGTGGTGGTCTTGTTGGTCTTGTTGGTTCTGGTTTTGTGTCCTCACCTGAAGTTGAGAGAAACACAACTCAACAAACTGTTCAGCACTAAACTTGTGTTTTAATATAAAATTCAAACTTCAAATCCAAAAAAAACTTTTAATATTTGAAGTATTTCCAGTCCAAAGTAAGGATGGAGATATTATAAGAGAAACACAACAAGAGACAAATTAACTTCATCAAAGTCTTTATAATTATTGTAATGTTTCAGTTTATTGTTTGAATTAGAAAAGTTTTGTTTGAAAAGATTATTGAAATACTTACTCTTGTTAACAGAGAGATCAACTTGAGTCGCATCGCCTGTTATTCTTCCTGATTTGATCTGTTGACAGAGATAAAGTCCAGCATCCTCCTCTCTGATCTTCTTTATAACCAGAGAACAGTCCTCTGTAACTCTCAGTCTGTCTGATTTAACTGTAGAGTTTTTAACCTGACCTTTTACAACCAGGTCTACTATTTCCTTGTTTTTTAATTCAACATCAACAAAGCCCCATGTCGTATATTCACACTTCTGTTGACCTTGTATCACAGTTTCACAAGACAACGTGGCGTCCTCTCCAACTCTGAATGTGACTTCTTTAATTACAGCTGCTGCTGTTGATAAAATGACAAAGAATAAAGTAAATCAATAAAATGTTGATTATATTCACAATCAGTTTGAGAATAATTCTTCATCTGTGGTTTCTCAGAGTTCATTAAATCCATCATGTTTAAAAAAAGGTTAAATATGTGATAGAAATGTTCTTACCAGCAAACTGAAGCAGCGCTGTGAGAAGTAAAGAAGTTTGAATCCATTTGAGCTCGTTCATGGTGATTCTCCGTCTCTGTCCTCCCGTTGTCACGCTCCTAACTGTCTGAGTTTCTTCAGTAGTGCTTCTTTAAAGAGACGCTGCATCTACTTCCCTTTCTTAGTATGTCGTCACTTCCTCATTTTGACTTCAAGCCTGCTTTAAGTGTTCACTTCTATGAATGTGTCATAGTTATTAAAACATGATGTAAAGTGTTTAAGTGATCATAAACTGATGATCATTGAGATGAGCTGCATCGATCAGTAAAGAGGTCAGAGGTCAGAGGTCACAGCAGATTGACGGAGATCTTGTAAAACTGTGATCAGTGTATGAAGAGGTCCGTCCCTCTGTCCTCCCGTTCTCACGCTCTCAACTGTTCAGTTAAATGTGTGAAGATTGTGAGTTCAGATAAACGTCTGAGAAGTGAAACGTTCCTCTTTAGATGGTGTTTCTGAGAACACAGTCAGGTTTATTAATGATGTCTGACCTCACTCAAAGGTTTCTAACCTGTCCATGTATAACCAGTGGTGTAGACCTGACTGAAGAAGTGGGCATACTCTTCATTTCTCCCCAAGTGTCCCGTCCAGCAGAGGATACACGGCCTCTGTTACTAACAGTCACATAGGCCTCCTCTTGCATATTAAGTTAGTTAGTGTGTACTAGCCAATTAGAGACAGAGTAGGGAGGGTCATCCCTTCACCATCCTATAGGAATTGCAGCATCCTACTGCATACTGTCAATCACTCAATAGTGAGAATCAGAGGAGATTTAGAAGTGGGTTTACTTCTTATACCTGCTTATACCCTGCACTACACCACTGTGTATAACAAGCTCTACTGCAGTGTTTCCTGAATCAACAAAGATCCATGTTGTATATTCACAGGCGAGGAAGAAGGGCGTGCTGATCGCTGTACCACCGTCTGTAAAGGCAGAGTCATTTCTGACCATTGAAGGAGTGAAGCCAGGAGAATGAGAGGTTTTCAGAAAGGAGAAAGGGAGGACACAACATCACTCCTGTTGACCTTGTATCACATTTTCACAAGAGAACGTGGCGTCCTCACCGACTCTGAATGTCACTCTTTTACCTCGAGCTGCTGCAGTTGAGAAACTGACAAAGAATGACGTAAAGAAAAAGTTGTTTGTCTCTGTCCTCCCGTTCTCACGCTCTCAACTGTTCAGTTAAATGTGTGAAGATTGTGAGTTCTGAGAAGTGCAACGTTCCTCTTTCTGAGAAAATAGTTAAGTTAAAAATGATGTCTGTGAGCAAAAAGTGAACAAAACATGGAGGGTCAAACTCCTTGACCTCCTGAATACAACTCTGAATGTCCGTCGTGTTTGAGAGATCAGAGATCAGATGTTATTTTAGTGCTCTGAGATGTGTTGACGCATCATTTTGAGTCTTTTCTAAAAAGTGAAGGGGAAGTTGTTTGGTGAGAATGTGGGTATCTACATCAGCAGCAGAGCCCTGGTCAAAACAAATGTAACCACATGAAGGTTATTGGCACATTTACAGTCGATGGTTTTTGGTCAGTGAGACGAGTTGCAGCAAACATTTCGTCATTAAAGAGCGTCCTGAGAGCTGAAGGGGAAGTCGTTTGGTGAGAATGTGGGTATCATCATCAGCAGTCAAAACAAACATTTCCTCCTCATCTTCAAACTCCTCTGCACGCTGCAGCAACATGGCCGTACTCCTGACAGCAGAAACACCTGAGAGGAGCTCTCTCATAAGCTCTCACTCTGTAGCAAACATTATCTAAATACACTATATCAGCAAAATCTCCTTCAAACGACAAACACATCTATGCTGTGTCCTCCCTTTCCCCTTCATGAAACCTTGTCATTCTGCTCTCTTCACTCCTTCAATTGTCAGAAATGACTTTACAGACTGTGGTACACCACTCACCACTACCTTCTTTTTTGCCTCTGGTCCAAGGGAAAGCCATGTGAGAGCACTAGAACCATCTCCAAAGACACACATTTACATTTCACTTAAAATTGAACACATTGAGCTGCACAAGTATTATTACAAAACTCAGACTAACTGTGTTGAAGGTATAAGAATGGAAAAATGAAATGAAGTTCTTGTAAAAATATTCCCCCCTAAATCGAGTTAAAGAGCTTTTTTATGCATTCAAAAGAAAACAATTCAACAACTGAACCCTCATGTCTCTCTCCTCTCTCTTTTAAGCGTCTAACCTGGAGCTGCATCAAGAGAACTATTCCTCAACTTCCTCTAATTAGTAAAGTGTAAATCTCTCACAGTGTTTGACAATCTTTTCTTTTTTATAACTTAAGTTTTTATTCATTTTTAACAGTTTTTTAAAACAATGCAGCACATCTTATACCAAAAAAATAAAAAAATAAAAAGGTACAGAGCACTTAGGCAGAGCATGCAAGTCATCTCCTAGCATGAGATAACAAAAATAACAAAATAATGCCACAGACATAAGAGAGGTACACCACCAACATGGATCCATTCTATGACCTTAGTTTAACATGTTGCCAAAACAGATCCCATATCTCCGTCATCTTACCACCAACATTCATTTTTCCCAACATGTTTTCATATGAAGAGATCTTAACCATTTCGTCAGTCCATTCCTTCACAGTGGGGCGCCTGGGGTCCTTCCAATTTCGCAGTATAATTCTCGCGGCTGTGATAAATCCAACCTTTAAAATGCTAAATTTGGGATTTGTAACATTAGGCACCAATGACTTGTCACCAAGGAGGCAAAGCCTTGGGTGCACTGGGAGAGTGACACCAATCCAATCCCCCAGTATCTCCAAAATACTACACCAAAATGGATGCACCATAGCACATTCCCAGATCATATGTAAAAAAGTGCCCAGGTCGTTCTTACACTTCCAACACTGATTGTTATCAGCAATTCCCATCCTATGTAATCTAGTTGGTGTCCAATGAAATCTGTGTAATATTTTGTAATGAATAAGTTTCCCCCTGGCCTCTCTGATGTTTTTGCCCACATTTGAAAGAATATCTAACCACTCATCATCTTCAATGGTAGTTGCAAAGTCCTTCTGCCATACCAGTTTGAGATTACTGCAGCAATCCCCTGAGGATTTCTTGTACATTTTATAAAACACTGAGGCTTTATGATTTACCTGAGGTGACTTGAAAAACTGAATCAAGTGATTAAGTAACAACACTCCATTCTTACATATGCAACCAAGACAGTGCCTCATCTGTAAATATCTCCAGAAGTTTCCTTTATTTGTAAGTTTGTATTTCTTTTGAAGGTCCTGATATGACATTAATACCCCCTTTTCATATAAATCGCCTATTGTGTTTATTCCCTTGGATTGCCACTCCTTCCAGTATGCTGTTTTCTTTCCGATGCGTAATTTAGGGTTGTTCCAGAGTGAAGAGTAATTTAAAAGTTGTATGAACTGCACTCCACACACTCCTTGAATAGGACATTATGGGATTTGAATTATTTTCTACCTGTTGGGATAAAATGGTAATGGGGCAGTATGGATTGACTACGCTCTGTTCTATGTTTATCCAATCTAGGTCTATATCTGCTCTGACCCAATGTTTCACCAACTTGATTATTTCAAAAGATAGGTTATATACTTTGACATCTGGCAAACCAAAACCTCCCTTGTCCCTGTCCATACACATCCTGGACATTTTAATTCTCGGTTTCTTCTTATCCATAAAAAAAATCGTTAACAAGTTTGTTATAGTGCTTATGTATTGAATCTGGAATCTTTAAGGGTATCATAGAGGACAAATAATTAAACTGAGGAGCTACAATCATTTTAACCACATTCACCTTGCCCCAGAGAGATAATCTTAATGCTCCCCATTGATCTAAATTATTTTTTCTTGCCCAATAAAGGATTATAATTTAGAGCAACCATTTCATCTAGATTCTGACTGAGTTTGATCCCGAGGTACGTCATTCCCGTTGGAACCCATTTCAAATTGAATTGAGATATTGTGTTAGTATTACATAGCCTCAGATTTGTTACAGTTCATTTTATATCCAGATAGCTCAGAGTACAGTTGTATAGTACTCATCAGATGTGGCAGAGAGCCAGAAGGGTCACCTATCAATAATAAAATGTCGTCCGCATAAAGCATCAGTTTATGTTCCCTTCCAGCTCCCCCCACTCCTCTAATATTTGGATTTGCTCTGATCATTGTTGCCAATGGTTCCAAAAAAATTGTGAAGAGCAGCGGAGAGAGGGGGCAGCCCTGACGTGTACCTCAGGAGACACTGAAAAAGGGGAAATCATGCCATTTGTCATAACTGCAGCCTTGGGACAGCTATAAACTATATTGATCCATGACTTAAAAACCGAGCCGAAGCCAAAAGAAAACAGAGCCGTATTTAGGAATTTCCACTCTACCCTGTCAAATGCCTTTTCGGCGTCCAGGGAGATGGCAGTAACGGGACTCTACTCTGAGAATTCAGACAGATTAAATGTAACAACCTCCTTAAATTATCAGTTGAGGACCTTCCTTTAATGAAGCCCACCTGATCAGCATTAATTATAGAAGGTAATACTTTCTCCAATCGTAACGCCAGAATTTTTGAGTATTTTGCAGTCCAAACTGATTCGACTAATTGGCCTATAGTTTGAGGATCAGCTGCATCCCTATTCTTTTTTGGGATTAGCAAAATTAATGTTTCATGAAACGTATTGGGCAAGGATTCGAGATGAAATGCTTCTGAGTACACTCATGCTAAGACGGGAGCTAATATATCCAGAAATGTTTTGTAATATTCAATGGGAAAGCCATCCATGCCTGGAGACTTCCCCACTTTCATAGTTGCAATGGCTTGTTTAACTTCATCCTCTGTAATCGGTGCCTCCAAGGACTCTGCATGTTGTTGAGAGAGTTTAGGCAATTTTATGTTTGAAAAGAATTGATCCAATTAGTTTTGTTCTTGGTTACCTGTGAGGTATATATGTTTTCATAACATTGCTTAAAGACCCCGTTTCTTTCTTCAGACGATGAAACTAACACATCCCCTTTTTTTACAACAGGAATTACGTTATTGTTAGTCTGTTGTTTTAATTGTCTTGCCAGTAGTTTGCCTGCTTTGTCACCCCCTTCATAAAAAGTTGTTTGTAGTCGGAAAAGAGCATATTCTGTTTTTTTGTTAAATATATTATTTCATTTAAACTTCAGGTTACACAAGTCCTTGTATAAATCATCAGTATAAT